CTAAACCAATGGCTAAATGTCAGAAGAAAGGAGGAGGACAGAAGCCCACTGAAAGAACTATGCGCCAACTGCAATGAGGACCAAATAGAAAACTTGTACCACTGTTTCCTCCTATGCTCTAGAATAAAACCACTATGGCAAAGGGTAGCAAAGTTATGGAATTTAATAACAGGTTCAACTTTCACAAGCAACAACATACTCCTACTCCTAGGTTTTGAAAGCCCAGAAAACTGGAAAGGCGACACCATGGGTAATATGGCGGAAAAGATGTCAAGAAACAATAGAAAAACAAAGAATGCACACCCAAGAAGCTTGGACAATTCTCCAACAACAGGTAGAAACCGAATATTGGGCCCTATGGCGTAAATTGCGCAAAAGAATGAAAGAAGACGAAACCAAAGCCAAAGAACACCAATACAGGTTCCAAGAACACTTCCTAGCAAAAGGCAAAATCGCTTTAATCCGAAAATCAAGTATAGTATTCCGATTATGGGAAGGTTTCCCTCCAAGACTCCATACCCAAGAATCCTCGGTAAACAGTATCCCCGAGTCCCTAGAGGCCAACATACTCTCAGACTAACTTCACTTATAGAACATAATAGGCAAACGCCCAATTAGTCTAGGCCCAAAAACATGACAATACAAGAATACACAACCGGTCAGAGATAGGTATACTCTAACAACAAGAGAAAACTCAGAAATAGATCAGAAATAGATCAAAAATAGATCAGAAATAGATCAGAAATAGATCAGAAACAAAACAACATTAAACAGACCAACATTTCAAAAGAAGGACAGACAGCCACAGGTAACTGTATGTTAGGTCAGCGCCACAAACAGCAAGTAAATACCCTACGAATGGAGAAGCCCGATAGTACCCTAGGTCTAACCAGGGTCAACTCTATAAGATGTCAGAATATAGAAAACCACAGGTCACAAACGAATGATTATCACAAGGGTCAATAGATAGCCTAGGGTTTAGGGTTCTAGCAAGGAGTACAACAAATGCAGCCCTGTAGTGCGCAGCCTACATGGATGTCACCACAAACGGTCAACCAGCAGTTCTAGAGAGAAAAGAGAATCAGACAGCGGATGAGATGAGAGGAGCTGATTGGCTCGAACAAAGGGGTCTACTTCCAAATAATAGAATAAATTGTACACCAGGATTATCAAAAGGTAGGAGGAAAATAGCGCAGGCTAACTTGGGCAGGGGTGAAGGAGGGTACATCCTTCCTGATGGAAGTAATCAATGCCGTCCTTCGGGCCTCCAGACCAGAAGGGGGAGGAGCGTGAGAGTGTCCTCAATGTATTTTCTTTTGACTTGCCGGTGGAAAAGGAACCGGACTGATGCTCCCCAGAATGGATAAGGAGCCAGAACCATAACGTTCTGCTTCTGAAAAAAAAAAACAAAAAAAAAAAACGAAAAAAACAAACAAACAGACCGCAAGTGGGCAGGTCAGTTCGATGATGATACCTTCTTTTTTTTCATTGGAAAAAGTGAGATGCCTCAGGGATTGCCTTGCAGGTCGGGGGGCTTACTAACAGCACCCAGAGCATGCAACAGGATAATCCCGAGAATGGGCAGGGTGCAGGGGAGGAGGGGTGGTCCCGACAGTCCCTCGACCGCTTGTCACCCACACTATCATCCCGAGTTTTTACAGCCCTTGTATCTCTCATGAACAATACTTATATCTCTCATGAGCCCTTCACTCCTCATTTTGCCTGCCTACTGGTCTATTTCCATTAGTTTCCTGTCTATCCTATCCCCAAAGTATTGGGTTTGCCCCCATGCAACTCACCGTACGTGGCCTCAGCATTTTCTGTGATGATACCTCTTGTTTTTTTTGGGGGGAAAAGCAAGATGATGGCCCTTGCTCCACTAACCAACTCTGGAAGCTCACATTACCATCATCATGATCGATACTGCTCAATCAGTGACAACCAGCAAAGAGATAGCAAGGTAGTCAAGCGACATGACAGAAGAACAAGAAAAGTGGGAGAAGAATGACTCAAGGTGGTAATCAATCTGCAAAAGTTTCTCACCACTCTTCTTCCTCTTCCCACCAACTCAGCACATCATCATCCTATCACTGACCTCACACTTACCCTACGGTCCCTCCCTCAGACCTCCCTCTGTCAGCTGTAAGCTGTGGTGCATGTCCCACTCCTACTGCTTGCTATGGCTCTCTCTAGCTCTACTCTCACAGTCTCTTCAAGGATGTCTCACTTCAAGCACTAGCGCTTACCAGTCCTCCAGCATATGCAAGGGCTGACTGACTTTCAAATGTTTGACTAGCCTGACATGCTCCTTTCCCTGACAGACCAACGCTGAGACTCTTTGATCAGTACAGCTGGTACCAGTCCTGTGTGGAGGTCGCTTCAGCCCCGTAGAGCCTTTGGATTGTTTGAGTGCTTTGTGTGGCTGTGGTTGACTTCTGAAGGAATCTTTGGCTTCTGGACTGCTGGACCCAGTAGACCCTGACTATTTTCTTCTTGTTCTTCTTCTTCTTCTTCTTCTTCTTCTTTTTTAAAAATTTAAACAGAACCTCCTGGTTCTGGCTCCTGCCATTCTGGGGAGCAACAGTTCGGTTCTATTCCCCCGGCAAGTCAATGCAATACATAGGAAACTCACGCACGCTCCTCCCCATTATGGCTGGGAGGCCCAAGTGGGCGGCATTGATTGCTTCGTTGTGGAAGGATGTACCCCCTCTCACTCCTGCTTAAGTTAGCCTGTGCTACTCAATCTGGAAGGTCCTTGCTAATTCCACTGGCCACAGTCCTGCTCCTCTCAGCTGCAATGCTGTCAGGCCTGTGTGTTATGCTAGAGCAGTCATGGACACTTCGTGGATTTCTTGAAAACCTGAATCTTTAACCCTATTTGTCTTGAGTCGGTCCTTACCCTCAATCCTTGTCCATCTAGCCTTGGTTTTACTTCCTCAAGGAAGGATGTACCACCCTGTACCCCTGTCTAAGCTATCCTGTATTATTTAAAAATTGCTTTATACTGCTAGTCTGAAAAATCCTGACTTCTGGGACCTGTAAATCCGCTCCTTAGAGCTGAGCCTACCTGTTCCTCTCTGCGTCTTAGCTGTCTGTTTTGCTTCCCTTTGCTGGAACTACTAGCTCGGTGTAGTGCTATGACCTTGCTAAAATCCTAAACCCTGTCCTATTGGTTGCTGAATGCTCTACTAGAGCCCTCACTCCTAGTTCACTTTTCCTCTCTCCTCTGGGGGGTTTGCTGACTTTTCTGCTAAGACCTTGGATTCTTGCCTTCTCTCTTTTTTTTTTTTTTTTTTTTTTTTTTTTTTTTTTTTTTTTTTTTTTTTTTTTTTTTTTTTTTACTATAAAATCCTGCCATGTAATGCATGAATAACTAGAAAGGTCTTAGAAGCTTCCACCACTAACTCCTCTGTTACGTATCTGAAAGACGCCACATGACCCTTTGCCGGGACCTGAGTTGAATATTTCAGGGCCTGGGGACTCGGTCTACATGCTGGTTTCGTAGAGCCTAAGATGTATGCTCATCTGAAGATGGGCGGTGCACAGGTATGACGGATCACCAATGTGAAGAGTAGCACTCAGGACAAACAATTCGTCCAGCAAATGAGCGATGTGCATCCAGAAAAGAAGTGATATAATGCAATGTAGCACAGCGGAAGACTCAGAGATATGACCTGACTCGTCAGACTCAGACTCGACTCACACAGACATTATCACACATGTCAAGAGACATACATGGAAGAAAGATCCCTCCTTGCAAATACAAAGGGAGAAAACCACGGATGATGGAGGTAGAGAGGAGACAGACGAGGAAGAAGGGGACGAAGGCGAGAATCACTCCAAGTAGTCCAAAAAAATAATATCCCTCGTCAAATGTCCAATAATCGTCTCTCCTCAGAATGTCGAATCAGATCCTGGGTGCTGAAAGCCCCGAAATAGTCACTGCCTGACATCTCTCTCTCTCTCTCTCTCTCTCTCTCTCTCTCTCTCTCTCTCTCTCTCTCTCTCTCTCTCTCTCTCTCTCTC